ACAATACAGCGGTTATTACAGACAACCTTTTGATACAGACAGTCCAGCATCCCACAAGTGGCTAGGTTTGCCACAATGCTCCCCCAGAACCAAGCTGGCATACACAGTCTGATCCCAACGGATCAGCTTGGGGATGTCTGGGAAGTGCCCACAGATCACTTTTCAAGTTCAGTTTGTCTAGATAACCCGTCGGCGTTACCGTTTTGTTTTCCTGGGCAGTAATGGATTGTAAAGTCAAAAGGCTGCAGCGCCAAACTCCAGCGCAGCAGCCTGGCATTGTCTCCAGCCACACGGTTCAGCCACACCAACGGGTTGTGATCTGTGAGCAAGGAAAAAGGTTGTCCATATAAATAAGGCTGCAACTTTTTGAGAGCCCACACCACGGCCAGGCATTCTTTCTTGATGGCGGCGTAGTTACTTCCCGTGGTAATAGTTTCCGGCTTAGATACACTACGGGATGTTCTCCGCCATCTGCTCCAACTTGGCTCAGCACTGCTCCCAATCCAAACATTGAAGCGTCTGTGTGGACAAGAAATCGTTTAGTTGGATCAGGAGCATCAAGTACTGGTGCATTAGTTAGAGCCGTCTTAAGTTGGTTAAATGCCTGATCACACTCTGGGGCCCAGACAACCTGTCGAGAGAGGTTTTTGCAGGTCAAGTTGGTCAAGGGTTTGGCCAGGACACTATAATTGGGCACGAATTTTCGGTAGTACCCTGAATATCTAGTACCCTGGAAGGCTAGTACTTGGGTTTTTGTCCTCCGGGTGGGCCACTTGGCAACGGCTTCAATCTTTGCTGGTTCGGGCTTTTGTTGTCTGCTCCCCATCCGGTGTCCCAAGTACTGCACCTCTGCCATCCCTATATGACACTTGCTAGGTTTCAGCGTCAACCCTGCCTCTGCGATACGATCAATAACGGCCCCTATGTGTTGCAGGTGCTGTGCCCAGGTCTGGCTATATATGGCGATATCGTCCAGATATGCGCATGCATATTTCTGGAACCTGTTCAGTAGCCGATCTACCATCCTTTGAAAGGTCGTCGGGGCGTTTTTTTTTATCCCGAATGGCATGACCCAAAATTAGTACAGGCCAAACGGGGTGAAAAACACCGACTTGTGGATGGAATCCTCGGCTAGTGGAATTTGCCAGTGTCCCTTACATAAATCTATAGTGGTGAGATACTGGCCTCGTGCCATCTTGTCCAGCAGCTCTTCTATCCGGGGCATCGGACAGGCATCAGACACAGTTTTGTCATTTAGCCTCCGGTAGTCGACAGAAAAACGTGTCGTGCCATCCTTCTTGGGTACCAGCACTACTGGCGATCAGAATGTTCAATAACCCCTAGCTGCAACATTTCCTCAATCTCTTTCCTCATATGTTCCCTGACTGCTTCAGGGATACGATATGGGGTCTGCCGCATAGGTAGCTGTCAGGGGTGGCTAGCGGCGTGTACCCAGGTAAATTGGAGAAGGTGGCTCCTTTAGCCACGATCCGCTCCTGAGGGCTTAGCTGCTCCCCCAGTTGAACCCCCGTGGAGGGCTCTGCCTGGTCGTCCTGTTCGAATAGGTCAGGTATTGGCAGGTTCTCCTGATCCTCAGAGGCGGAGGCGCATATTGCTGCCACGTCCTCTATCCTCTCATGATAGGGTTTGAGCATGTTCACGTGGAGCATGCGTCTCTTCCCTACCCCTGAGCAGGGGCCAATCACATAGGTGGTGTCACATCTCTGTTCCACCACCTGGTATGGGCCTTGCCAGATGGCCTGCAGCTTGTCTGTGCGGACAGGTTTTTAAATCAAAACCTTCTGTCCCACTTGAAAGCTGCGGTCTCTGGCTCCCCTATCGTACCAGCGGCGCTGGCGTTGTTGGGCCGCCTGGAGGTTGGTGCGCACAGCCTGGGTTATTGCCTCCAAGCGGTGCCTGAACTCCAGCACGTATGGTACAATGGGTGTCCCATCTGTGCTACCTTCTCCCTCCCAATGCTCTCTAATTAAATTTAACGGCCCTCGCACTCTTCTTCCAAACAGCAATGCGAAAGGGGAAAACCCTGTGGACTCCTGGGGTACCTCTCTATAGGCGAAGAGCAGATGGGGTAAAAATCGCTCCCAGTCTTTATGAGCCTCTCCAAACGTACGGAGCATCTGCTTCAGGGTACCGTTAAAGCTTTCGCATAAACCATTGGACTGGGGTTGATATGCGGAATTTACTATCGGCTTAATGCCACATATCTTCCAGAGTTGTTGGGTGACATCGGCGGTGAACTGGGTACCCTTATCGGATATGATCTCTTGGGGGAACCCTACCCGGGAGAATATTTTCATTAAGGCCTCGGCCACAGTTTCCGCATGAATATCAGAGAGGGCGATGGCCTCGGGGTATCTGGTGGCGTAGTCCACTACGGTTAAAATATATTTCTTACACGAGGGACGAGGGTTCTTCAATAATGGGAAGGGGGCATAATTTGGCTTTGTGGCGGTCACCCCTCTTGCCCACTCGCTGACAAATGTCACATGAGTTGCAGTACTGCCGCACATCTTTAGAAATCCCTGGCCAGAAAAAGGTGTGTGTCAACCGGTATCGGGTGCGTGTCATTCCCAGATGCCCAGACAAGGGAATGTCGTGAACAATCCTAAGGAGTGCTTGCCTATACTTTTGGGGGACTACTAACTGTTTAGTTGTTACTGTGACCGATCCCCCCCAGTACTCTTTCGGCAATGCAATATAATAATCCTTTCTCCCAGGTATACCGCTTCCCCTCTAACCCGGCCTGATCTGTGCTTACCCTGTCCCTGTATACCTGTAGCGTGGGGTCTAACGTCACCTCCGCCTCAAATTTAGTTGGGGTATCCCAGGTCATATGTGTCGTGTGGGGGTCACTGTCTCTTACCTGAGCCTCAGAGTGTGCTGGTGGAACCGTGGTGCAAGCCTGCTGCCGGGTGGTCACTGGATGTGCTTCCTGGTGTGGAGCCTGGGGTATAAAAGCAGAGGTCATCCGGCCCAAGTCATTCCCTAGTACAACATCCGTGGGTAACTCCTGCATCAGGCCCACCTCTACCATCCCCTCCCTAGCACCCCAATTCAAATGTACTTTGGCCGTGGGTAGTCGGTACACTGCTCCCCCTGCAACTCGTACGGCCACGGATCTGCTGTTGTGTGCTGATGCTGGAACCAAATGGGGTGCCACCAAAATTAGGGTGGCTCCTGAATCCTGGAGCCCTTGCACTTCTTTCCCCTCCAGAGTCACTAGCTGGCGATGATGTTGCCTGTTGTCAGTGGCTTGAACCGACATCACTTCGTGCAGTATTCCCAGGGGTTCTTCTGCCTGAGCGCTCAGTATGTCCTGGGTGGCTGGCTCTACTTGATAGTGATGAGCGGCGGCCCTTGGTGCTGGGTTTTGTCGGACTTGGTTCCGCGCTTGCCTGCTCCGGTTCTGAGTGCACTCTCGGGACATGTGTCCCCACTGCCTGCAGGTATGGCATTGGATGTTAGCCCTGCCATTATATCGGGAGGGTGGAGGTTGTCTCCCGGGGTTGGTCTAAAGGGGGTTGCTGTGGAGGCTGTAGGCGTCGCTGTATTGGGTTGCACAGTGGGTCGAGGGTAACTCCTATTTAGATGCCCGTGATGCCTCCTTGCGTCAAAATGCTGGTCTCTCTATGTGTGGGCTATTGGGGGGTAGCTCATTCGTTTCACGAACAGCCAGTAAAGTCGCTGTTCGTGAAGCTAAATACATGAATGCTAGCGGC